CCCAGCACCTTCACCCCAGCACTGCCCACACCCCAACACCCCCAGCACCCCAGCACACTCACCCCAGCACTGCCCACACCCCACACACTCCCCAGCTCCCATGGGCCAGGCACCCTGTTTCTCATTTCAGGCCTTATTAGGTATTCACTTCCTCCAGAAAACCCCCAGCCTCTGGACAGGGCACCCTCATCTCCCCAGTGCCTGCGAACCTGCGAAGTGGGCGTCTGATGCAGCAGCAGTTGATGAGCAAGAGGAGGGTTGTCAGCTACACCGTCATCCCAGGCAGCAGCCATGAGAATGCAGGGGGACGAGAAGCAACTACAGGACCCAGAGTTCAGGGAACCCAGAGTGCGGGGCCACGTGTGGTTGTGGGGATTGGAGACAAAAGGCCCTGTGTAACCTGGGCCTGGAGCAAGACAAAGACAACAGCAGCAGATGCTAGAGCCCCAAGGCAGGAAGGACAGGACAGCCTCGAGGCAGGAAGGACGGCTCTGGACGCTGCGGCTGTAATGTGCTTTATGTGCCCGGCATCTCCATGAGCATCCGGTGTCTTAGCTCAAGTCAACCCTGGCCAGACTCCAATAACAGACACAAGAACTGAGAAGATGGCTCCAGTTACCAAAAACCAGAGGACTCTCATTAACATCCCCAAATATCAAGTCAGATTGAAATCTGTCAGAGGAAACGAGGGTCCCAGCCTCCCCTGGCACAGGAAGAACAGAGCAGGCTGGACCCAGCTAGAGCCTCGGCCTGGGCTGCTGCACCTGTGGGGCCCACAGACTGAGCAGGCGGTCAGCCTCCCTCCATCCCGACAGCAGAGCACCGTGCGTCGTGGAGTAAAACGTGCGATGTGTGGCTTCCCCTGCAAACAGGATCTGGAGCTGCAAAGAAGAGCCAGGGTTAGAATGGGGATGCAATTCAGACAGCAGGGTCTGGGCAGATAAACACACAGAAAATGGCTCACGAGCATCCACCAAGAAGTGGGAAAACACAGCTCACATACCTCCACCAACGGGCGAGAAAAGGGCTCGCGCATGTACCCACCAACAGCCAGGAAAACGGCTCACACACATTCACCAATGGGCAGGAAAACGGCTCACACGTATCCACCAACAGCCAGGAAAACGGCTCACAC